GCGTGTGCATCGTGAAATGGTCTCGCTATAGCGAGACTTATGCAGCAAGCTTCCCACTTGTTCGAGTTCATCTCGTGTAGCTCCAAGTGCGACCTCACAGACGGAGGCGAGATGTTCGACAACGCGTTCCGGTTCGATGGTAGGGAAGGTCGGGGAGGATGTTACGCCGTTGGCGGAAGCCCCAGGGCTCGGCACGGAGGGCGAAGTGACCTCCATAGTGACAAGAGGGCCGGAAGAAGAGAGTATGTGGCCGTTTTAATGGCGCGAGATCATTTCCGAATTGTCAGTGGGCTATGGATAAAGGACGCAATCGAGAAGGTTGTATGTGGCGGTCGAGCAAGCTTCGGGTTGGGCGCAAACGTGGTGACAAGTTAGATATTAAAAGGCTTTAGCAAAATCAAAAGATGAGCTCAAAGACTAAGGAGCGTGTAGTTGACGATCAACTGTAGATGGTCGTGAAATGAAGTCGCAGAAGTGCTATGAAGTCTTCAGCGACACGTTGGGATTTGGTGATTTAAAATGAAGTTCATCCAGGAGTTGTTGACTTTCAATAAGGGCACCTCACACCTGAGCTTTGGCTCTACCGAATTTACGGGCTTCTCAAGACGCGACTAAATCCAGGGGTACCCCTGTCGTGAATGCTCGGGCATGATCGGCAATTGGCTGAAATGGATGTGTCAGAATGCCATTGGACGTCAGGCCACCTAAAACAGTCGCTCTCACAGGAGATAAACGCGCTGTAGCCCGTTACAGCCCGCTGGAGTCACTGCAGATTGAGGAAGTGGGGCAGTCCAGTACGTATCCAGCCGCCCGTATGCAACCAACCGGAGATGATTGTGAGCCTTGATTGGTCCAAACGCACTAAAGAAAAGGCCTGGCATAAACTGAAGACACGGGCCAGGGGCTGCAACTTTGCAAAGCAAATGAGACTAAAATCTTCAGCAACCATCTGCGACTGTATACCAGTGTTGGTGCTTATTGATGGCATCCAATGACATGTAAGTATGGAAGACGCAGACGAACCAAAACACTAAAACACAATCCATGAGTATTTACACTCCAGCTGGCTAGAAGTTACTGTTCTATCCATCCCCAAATCTGCTACTTGCCCTTGCTTACCAGGCCTACCTTGAGTACCCTACCTTTATAGTACCTTGTATGGGGTCTTATGCGGAGATACATGTTTAAATAATGAATACAAGGCACCTTAAAGGTCAACGCCAATACCTTACGCTACATGGTATAAACTCAACTGCCATCAGTTAATCATAAGGCCACCAAGCCTCTGGTATCCACACCGGATGTAGAAAGTAAGTTAAGTTGTGGCTACAGACTAGACGTTTGAAACGCCTTTTGTCGATATCACAACTATATAACAGTTGGACGAGGTTAATAAATCTACACCAGTGCATTGATCTATATTAAGCCCAATAGCAACTATCACTCATCGATGCATTTCAGGGTCGGATCGCTCAACAAATATGTATTCCAATCATCACCGTTTCTTGCCGTGAAAATATGTCAGCCACACAAATTTCGAGTGCTAAAACGAAGCCACGTCATAATCTTGAAAACCATGCTCCAGAAAGAAAACAAGCCTGCCGCCCAGGATCAACTTGAATAAGCATTGCGCAAAACCAGTCTCATAAGTGTAAGCATTTGCCAAACATTCCCGATCATAACGCCCTTGTACTTATCGAAGACAACCCAACTTCTGTTTCCATACTAACCACTGAAACAAACCGATGCGCCATTGGGTCAGATCAGACTTGGGGTTGATTTGCCCCATTTCCGTTGCTTCCTGCTAGTCGCTGTCGTTGAAACATAACCCTTTCGTTACAAATATCAATGAACTCTTCGAATTTTCTTATGATGACTTCTTTTTCTTCCAATTTCGTCTTCAGCTCGCTGATTTCTTTGTCCTTCTTTTCCTCCATTTCTTGCATTTCTTCGCGAGCTTTTGCGATTTCACGTCTCAACTCAGCGCGAATGCGATCTTCAGGGGACTGATGAGGTTTGCTGTAGATAGCTGGTCTGTTCTCTGCCAGTCCTGTAGCAACCTTCTGAGGGTTGCGATTGATAGCTGCGCGAGCGTTGTATATATCGCGTGGGAGAAGATGACAATCCGGATTTTCGGTCTGCAGTATCTGCAGCGTTTCCGAGACGCCAGCGCCTGCTCATTGCAGTTAGTATGGAATCAGTTCCTCTAGTCTGAGTAACTCACCGTTCTCCTTAAGCTGTTTTACCGCAGCAACCATTCGACTATCCAGTTTCCGGGCAGCTGGGTGGTGGGAAGGGCTCTCGCTTGGGCCATGATTATGCTGAAGATGGGCAGGGTCAGGTCGATATCGGATCGTCCACTGGGTACGCTGCTCGATAGCGAAAAAGCCGAACGGGCAATCACACTTGCGGGAGGATGTTTTACGTTTGCGACACTCGGGGCTTACACGACTCGGCGGCTTGCCAGCACGATCGCAAACAAAGAGGACCTTCTTCAAGCCAGGCACTGTCTTCTTCGAGCGACCAATGACAATAGCATAGCCGACTGAGGTGCAGTATCTGAGAACAGCCTTCTGGACCGCCTCAAGAGTAGGGTAGCTTCCGCCTTCTGGCGGAGGGGACATCATTTCGCCCAAAGGCTGAGTTGGGATGTAGTTAGGATCAGCAAGCATTTTCATGTCTAGGCCTCCGCTCTCCTCCCCGTTTGCTTGGTTGTCAATATCCATCGACTCGCTGCCATTGGCATCTTGCTTCTGCTGCTGCGGCTGAGTCGGCTGCTGCTGCGGCTGAATTGGCTCTGCAGAAAGGGGTTGTGGCTTTTGTTGCTGCTGAGCTTGCTGGGCCTGCTGCTGGGCTTGCTGCTGCTGTTGCTGTGCCTGTTGAGCCTGCTGCTGCTGCTGTTGGATTTGTTGCTGCTGTGCCTGCTGTTCACGTTGCTGATCACGCTGTTGATCACGTTGCTTCTGCTGTTTCTGTTGTCGAGGTGCAGGTTGCTGATGTGTTTGGGATCTCGGAGGTTCATGTTGCTGCGGGTGTTGAAGCTGCTGCTGCTCCTGTTGGGGAGTTCGAAGCTGTTGCTGCTGTGGCTGTTGAGAGAGAATCTGCGCTTGCTGCTGATGCTGTTGTTGATGGTGATGTTGTTGCTGTGCATGTTGCTGCTGCTGTGGGTGCACTTGCTGGTGCGCTTGTTGCTGCGGCTGCGGCTGTGGCTGTTGCTGTTGGTGATGATGCTGCTGCTGCTGCAACTGTTGTTGCTGTTGCTGTTGTGCCTGCTGCTGCTGAAGCTGTTGTTGTTGCTGCAATTGCTGCTGTTGCTGCAAATGGTGTTGTTGCTGTTGCTGCTGGAGTTGTTGCTGAAGCTGCTGGTGCGTTTGCTGCTGCTGTTGGCTCGACTGCTGGGTCAAGGGAGGAGAAGGCGCCTGGGGCTTGACCTGAACCTGGCCAATCTTGGGAGTTGGCTGAGCCTGTTGAGATTGAGGCCGCTGCTGAGGCGACTGCTGAGCATGGTGCTGATGAAGGGTTTGTCGAGGCTGGGCAAGAGAGTGGGATGGATGGGTCAAGTGCTGAGGATGCATCTGCTGTTGCTGCTGGGGGTGGTGTAATTGGTTCGGCACAACCTGTCCCAGGGTCGGAAACATCATTTGAGAGCGTGACTGCGATAGTCCTCGGGAATTAGACACATCAAGCGGATTCGGCACTGCACTGGGCATGTGAGAAGTGGAAGAACGCGAGGGGCCATTGGAAAGACTGCCGTTGACATGCGAAGGATTTGAGAAAAGATGCTGGGGATATCCAGCTGGCGTCTGCTGAGGCTGATATGCCTGAGTCTGGTAAGGGGACGCAGAATGAGGCGCGGGAGATTGCTTGTTCTGTTGGCCCGGATGAGGCACTGGAGGATATGGGTTGCGGCGAAGACTGGTCTGGGGAAAGTTGAGGCCAGTGTGGTTATTGGATCCTGGACGCAGACTCGACATATCGCCTGGTCAGGCCCGGCAGAAAGGCCGGTTGGTAAACGTAAATGCTTGAACACGAAACAATTGAGCCTGGAAGACCAGTGAAGTCAATGGTACGCCGGATGCGTTATCGTTTATCGATCGCGACGAAGTGAGTAGGCAAGACGACGTGACGTGACGTGGCGTGACTTGGGAAGTTCAGTCTGGTCGAGTCGAGACTCGGCTGCGTGTTTATCACGAGGCTCTCGATGAGGTTGTCGCGATCCGTCTTGACGCTCCTGCCGGTGGGTGTCGTTGTGGCCTCCGTTGCCGAAGCCGAAGGCCGTGACGGTAACCGGTGGCGGTGACGGTCAGAGAGTGACGAGAGATGCTGCCGTGACGTTGATTTCGCCGGGCACGAGGTGCTGCTGATACGGAGCGGAGCGCGGTGGTGTGCGGTGCAGTGTAGTTCAGATTGCGGAGCGTGTGTATGAAGCAAACCCTGGGACCCAGGATCTTTGGGGGTGTGATTAATGAAGCTCTGGACTTGGGGAGGAGGAGGCGTGGTTGCGGGTTATGCAGAGGCGTGCAAAATTATGGGGATGGAAAAGTCTGCCTGCTTGCCTGGCCTGACGATGCCTGGCCTGAGCGAAGGGGGGAGAGAAAATTGGCAGGGGGAGGGGGCGAAGGGAGACAGATTTGATAGCAGATTTGGTACGATGACAGAGCAGCAACGCAAGAAAAGATGAAAAGGTGGGAGGGCAAAAGAGCCGAAAGGGTGCAATGCAGCAACCAGAGCAAGCAGATGGATAAACACGCCTCTTCTACTGCGGCAGCACTGTGTGATTTCGTCTCATGTTGCACTGTCTGTGTCTGACCTTGTTGTCTGAGCCCTCTGGTGTAAGATTCGTATGAGTCTGAACACCTTACTGTGCAGTGGGCGGACCTTCTAGTCAAATTTAGTCAAACAACATAAGGGATAGGTAGAAAACGACGAAGTGGTGAAGGGCGGGTGTCCGTCATCCTCCCTTCTTTCTCTTCGTTGGACTTCAACCAGGCAGCCAGACGATGTTTCCCAAACTGTGGGGGATCTCTATGGCTGGCGTGGCGTCTCGTGGCGTCGCCGCGTCGCTGCGTCAGCGAACTAGCCCCTGTAAGTGAAAGTGAATTTGGTGACAATTTGGATCGAAAGCCATCCGTCCCTACGGCGGCAGTCATGATTGCACCACGAGACTTTGGGTTGATGTAGTGTCTATCATTTCGGTACTTCGAGCCTCGGAGGAATTGCATTAATTGTTTTACCCTGGATTGCTTGAATATCTCTTTCTGCCGCTCTTAAAAGCAACACTACCTTAATACCTACTATACTAATCTTGCCCAAAGTAAGGCGACTTTGATGTTTATTAATTGTTCAGTTTCATACGTACTTGCAGTACTTTCAAGTTAACAATGAATTAAGTTCTCGCCATTTCAACTTTGTAGCAATCTAGGCTGAACTGTTTCTTGTTGGATCAGGAAACTCAACACTTCTGATCGTGGTTTTATTCAATTTGGTTCCTGATGCGTTTTGATTATACTGCAGTAACACCCCTATCAATTCCATCTCGTACAGGTATCTAATAACCCTGATATGTATATATACAACTATACCTCTACCTCTACCTCTATTTCTTCGTATTTCTTCAGTTTCCGTACAAGCTTAGCACGTGACTCCGAGTGCTTTTCGACTGATCCAATCATCAAGTCTCTGTCCTACAAGTAGCTTTGCCGAGCATTCCGTTCTCAGTCACAGGCTTGTTCAGAAACGGGACCAGCAGGCCAAAAATTGACGTCTTGCACCTCAATGCAGTTATAGCGTCACCATCTTGCTCATTAAGTACTTCATTAGTGTGGCCTAGTTTGCATTACTGGAAGATAATTTATGATTACTTATTCCGTGGATTAGAATTGACTTCAACTTGCTGCTAAAAGATGAGATACACGAAACTGCAGGGTATTTATATCAGCGTGTATGCGTTAGTATGTGTTCGTTGCCGAGTACTCAAATTGCTGATAGTGTAATTCCATACCCATTACACACCAACACGTAGTCATATTCTGATTTGTCTCAAGTGAAACTGCATATTGCGGTAGGCATTCAGACGAAATAGATGAGCAACTCCGTGTATTGAAAATTGTCAACGTGGTATGAGCATACGCCGTAAATTGCAATAACCATTTCATATATTAATATCTGCTGCGTTTGATAACGAGAATGCATTACGCCCGTTATATTATGTTTCCGAAATAGCACTCCGGTGCTCGTTTCCAACCAAAACGCCATGCAAGTGTTGTCTATAAACAATAGTAAGGAAAGTCGAGGAAGCAAAACGAATACATCAGCATTAGCCCCTTCGTCACTGTCCCCACGAAGAGCTCTCTGCAAGAAACAATTACCTTTTCAAACCCTTTGCACCAAACGTCACTCAATCTTGCGTCGCTTGCTCGATCGCTTTACGACGTCTTGTCCCTCTAGAAAGTGACCCTTCTCTATCTGGTGTTGGCGCAAATTGTCTGGTCTATTCTTGTACTGACTTGTACAGCCGGGATATGGACAGCGGTAGATGGTTGGAGGTTTTGTTGAGTGTTGCAGTTTCATGTGCTTGGCCATACTGCCGCTGAACCATCGAGGATCACCTTCAGGTGTATATCCGCACAATTTGCAACTGCTGTCCGACTTGATTTTTGCTGTTGGAGAGGAGGAGGATGCTGCTGGAGCTGGAGACGGGGGTGAATTCGCGGCTGTTGAAGTTGCCTTCACCGAATTCGTGTCTGCAGGCGTAGGAAGTGGTAGCGGGTTCAAAGTACCAGGATCAATGGTGTTCGGCAGGCATGAGAAGTCCAAAGGCTGCCCTGCATCAAATGGGCCAATCGGGCTAAAATTGAAGTTGTTCGGCGACATAGCATTGAAGAATTCATCGATGTCATCAAAGCCGTCCTGCGTCACTGAACTGTTTTGAACTGCGTGCTCAGCTGTCGGTTGTAGCGGGACACCAATAACAGTTTTGATAAGCTCAATGCATTGTCGGTAATAGACAGCCCGGTAAGAGCCTTCTGCTGTAGCCGTGCAATAAATAGAATCCATCTGTTCTCGAACGAAGCGGATATAGCCATCGAAGTAAATGTCTGGGGGTAGGTGCATCTGCATTGGAATGTTTAGTCTTGTCTTGACCTCCGAGCGTCTGTTTTCCACTCACCTTTCCACACTCCATAAGCTCGAGTTCTAAGCGCCGTGGAAGCGTCGACTCTGAATTGGCGCGACGAGCGATGTTGTTCAGATTATTTGCAAAGGCTTGATAATGAGTATAGAGCTGAAAGTTGTGCTTGAGTATGAGATTTGCAGCCATGGTTTGTGTCGAATCCATAGGAGCCCTGTCTAGGCTATTGCAGTGGCCCAAAAAGAGATCAGACGATAGAACTTCTGCGTCGTCTACCACATGGATGGTGGCATTTTCCAGTTGGTCTAGGAAATACATTGCTAAAAACGCTAGCGAGTCGACACTGGCGGACATCATGTTTCTGGACTCAATTCCTTTCCCCTTCGAGCCAGGCGAGTGTGACATTAGTGATGTCTTGGCTCGAACCAGGTTCATAAGGTCAGCGTTGCTCACATCAGCTGGCTTCCACAGAGTTTCGACAATCTGTATATACAGCTGGCGATCTTGACGTGAAAACAAGGCGCTGTACGACATCGCTTGAACGAAAAGATCCGAAGATCTGTTTGCAGCGTCTTGCTCGTGAACAATAAGTGAGAAACAGTAGACCAAGTGAACAAAACAGAGGACATTGATGGGAACAGTCGGCTGACGACCTTCGATGATATCCATGAGAGTTTCGAGACCCTTTGTAGCTATCACTGGAGCCGTAAGACTTCTGAGCTGTATGACTAGGTGGTTCTTGGTGATATGATGAAGCTTGGCCAGAGAGTCAGCGACGTGCATCTGGAGAGTACTCCATGCCGTGCCAATCAGGGACCGAGGGTTATGATAGGACTCGGCCTTCGGTTGAGGTGGTATGGGATGGAGGGACGGTGGCATCGTGACATTATTGTCAATGGGGGCAATGTTGGCATCAAGGTCGAAAGTAGAGGAAAGGAAGGAGTCATTCAATGTGAAAACGGGCTGGTTAAGATTCGCAGTATCAGACTTAGTGGCAGGCAAGGCACCGAGCATGTGGATGTTTGTGGGGAGTTCAGTCGGTTGGGAGTCATAGGACATGCCTGCCTCGTTTTCGAGAGAGTTCCAGCCCTTGGCTGCGGGTGCCTTGTGAGATATGGCGAACGAGTTCGTCCTGAGGAGGCCTCCTGGGCTTCCAAAGCCATTCTCAGTGGAGGTGAAGTCTGAGTCGAAGGCTGGTGCACTTGCCCATTGATCAGAGAAGGACGAGATGGGGGAGATACTGTAGCTTTCTCTGCTGAAAGTAGTGTCCGCCGTATTTGTGCTCGACGTGGAGTTTGTACTGGCTGTCGAGCGAACCGAGGTGCTAGGTGCGACCTGGCCCTTACTGCGTCTCTTTTGTTCCCTGCGGTACTCTTCTAGGCCTTCTGTATGAAGCTGAAGGGTGGGCCGTACAGAAGTTATGTTGCAGCCAGGGTCGATGAGGTTTACAGGGACGACAGTGCCTGGCGGCAGCATGAAATCGAGGGGGTCGCTGAGGGTTGCATCTGATTCGAGCTCGGCGCGGTGAGCAGGCAGAGTCTGTGCCTGGTTCTGCGTAGGCAGCGATGAGGTGTAAGGTGTGAGCATGGGGGCTGGGCTTATCTCTGCCTCGTTCTCATTCTCCAATATGGGCTGTAAAACTATACCGCTGGAGCCAATCTCATGGATCTCATTCGTAGGTAGCTCGAGCTCACCTGGTGCCACTGCGAGATCGTAACTGGGTGGTGCCTCAGATTCACCGATGTCACTGTCGAGGTCAAGATCCTCCAGGGCTGAGCTCTTAGGTTTGTGACCGAGGGAGTTGAAGAAGCTCTTTGCCATGGACAGTATCTTCTTTCTTCGCGATGGGTGACCCAGGCATCGCTTGCACTTGGAATCGTTGAATCGTTCGGATTTCCCGCATTCGTAACACCAATACTCACTCGTGGAGAGCCAGCTACACGAGTATAGGTGCTGAAGCATGAGCTCGTGGTTTGCAAATCGCTTACGGCAGCGCAGCATGGGACACTCCAGCTTCTCTTGGGGGGTCATTCTGTCGCACTCATTTCTTTTGACTGCAGTCCAGACGATGAATCGATGAAGAGCGCAGTTGTCGCTTGAAGTACCACGGGTCCTAATGCACCAATGAGTCTGGGGAGGACTTGTCGAGATGAATGAAAGGGGATATCGTCTCTTACACACAAGATTTTGGTGATGCCTCACTGTCTTCTGATGCGATCGAGGAGACGGAGGATGATGATGTGGATTCAGTGCTTGATCGCCGAAGACTTATACGATGACTGGGGCTTCGAGTGAGCCGGCGTAGGGCTGAGGGTCCCGAGCCAGAGTTTGTCCCATCCAGGGACAAACGCTTTTTTGACTCCATTTCGAGAGTCAACAGAAAGGCTTTGTATTCTACTCCCAGACCCTGTAAGCAAAGCTTGTACTGCCAAGTTGAGCTTGTTGGGCTGTCGCAATTACAAAGTGATCCAAGCGAGACCAAGCAGGCACTCCAAGGATGGCGAAAGAGGAGAGAGATTGCAATGGTATCAGCCTCCCCAAATAAAGAGACAGTCAGAGGTATGCGCCACCCATAGTCGATATAGATTGTTTTGGGGTTTATTACCACTGGAAGATGAGTTCAACAGCTGGAGAGGCAGCTCGCAGAGGATGCTGTCCTAGGGCGAATAAGACAAGAGTGTGTAGGACTCAAGGCCTGGGGCTAGGACTTGGAGCTTAGTTAGAGCTTGAGCTTGCGGCTCGGTGGGAGTGGAGGGAGGTGGATCAGAGGTGTTGGGTTGTATCCATCCAATGCAGGCGATGCAGGTAGTCAGTCAAGTCAGTGTGTATGCGTCCGTGGGACCCGGGCCTGGGGATCTGCTGGGAAGATGAACAGAGTTGCCTTGTAGCGAAAGATCTTGTTCCGGGCAGTGCCTAAGAAGCTGGATGAGCTCCGTCATCCGGTAAGGCTTTTTTGAATCCGATGAGACGATGAGGAATGAACAGGGAGTTGTGAGTCTTCGGTACTACATACAGTACTGCATGTACCTACTAGAGCAGAATCAGCCTCGCACAGCTCACTCAGAATGGAACTGCAGCACAAACCATCCCCCACCC